TAGGACAATTTCTTAATTGTCTTCAACCAATAAGCTCGCTTTATATATATAAAAGTGAATATTACCATTCTCTTCATTAAAAAAAAGAAAAAAAGAAAAAAAGAAGACAAAATAAAAATAATAAACAAGTATGAGAAAAAAAGGAAAAAAATATTGAGGCCTCGGGAGGAAACAATAAACAACATGGAAATTGTAGGATTTTTTTTTATTCTTGTTTTTCATTTAATTTTTCAAAAAAATGGGGGTAAAACCACCCTTTTTAATTTAATAATTCTGTTCACTAAAGATAAGGGCAAAATTGACCATTAACTGCCAAAGCAGTGGTAAAATGAAAAACAAAAAATAAAAAAAAATGAGAAAGTCAATGCTCCACATTGAAGTCCGGTGACCCAGGTACAATATCCGTCGAAGTGTGGGGACTACTGCTTCTATTTTCCTATCAAAATAATTCCACTTCTTGAGATTGAAAACGTGATATGTACCCATTGACTTTTCCTATTTATCATTTTCCATGAGTTAGAAAACAAAATGGATATTTAATTAGGAAAAAGACATGGAAAGAAATTGATTTCCTTACGCGTATTGTATGGTCCCTTATTGACCGATTCAAGTTTCATTTGTATGACCATTGATTCGGATTCGTAGACTTGACTGCAACCACAAAAGGAACCATCAAGGGACCCTCACCCTTCACTATGAATTATATCATACGCTAATAAAAGAGATTTTCCATTTGCACAGAATTTTAGTCGATAGAATTCTATCAGAAGAGACACATGCGTGGGCCTCATTTGTGATTAAAAAAAAATGTCAAAAAATATTACCCACACAACCCACTGTGTCTTGTCTAGAAACAATCTGTGAATTGAAATTTCTGTAAGTGCAACACGGCTGTTAATAAAAAGGGATTACGATGTATATGTTGGAATGTGCACAAATATGTTATGACAATTAATCTTTTATGTGCATAAATTCCATGGAATTTTAACTTATAGAAATTAAATATGTAATAGTAGAAATGTAGAAATAAGAGATGTAAGAAAATAAATTAGATTGATGTAAGAGTTTGACCATTTCTTCTTATGATGATAATGCTCTAAATAGGTGCTAACGATTTTTTAACACTCGTTTCAAGATACAACGACTAAGGTCTGTAATATGAGCACTCTAATTTACGTAGATCAACATCTCTAATGATATCGATACTCATCTTCTAACATACAATAATCATGTTGCGCAATAGGAACTCAGCCAATTCCCTTTGACTAGTGAACATATTGATATTGAGGTCTCGCATTATGGGAAAAATCAAATCAAATTTATGAAAAATATTTCATTAAGAGTCCGCTTGATTGCAAAAATAGAATTTGGGTGAAAAGAAAACGAATTCTAGATAATTGAATTGTCTAGAAATTATTTTACCGAGATTTGTCAATTATTATATTTGATTGGTATAATTTTCCACCTGAAAAATGTTGAAATAAAAGTGTGTTTTCGTATTCGTTTGGCTTTGTTTTTTATGAAAATTGTCAATTTAAGGAAAATATTTTTTTAGAATTAGGGATAAAATTTGTTTCTATTGCCAAAAAAAAAATGGAAAAAAAAGAAAAAAAAAAATTGCCTAGAAAACCGATTCTCACCATACCTTTCAGAATTGGAATTCCCTGAAAACAAAGAAAATGGGCGCGTGAGGGGAGGAAATGGAAAATAAATGTCATGGAAAAAATTGCTATCAAACATGGCAAAAGTGGGAAAGTGGAATTCATTTTCCATGAAAATCATGGCCTATCAAACATGGCCTAAGTGTTGAAATATACTAGTAAGTAAGAATGGCAACGAGTCGAACCAAGCTAGTTTGTGAGCCGAGACTCGAAACTCGGGTTCAACTACAGTAAAATGGTGCAAGCTTTTTCCCCAGCCCGAGCTGAACTTTTTCTTGGCCAAAAAATTTAGGCTTGACTCAAACTTTTCGGCTTGGGCTTTTCTGGGGTGAACTGGGTAGGCTCTTCTTTTTTTTTTTTTTATAATACTAAAAGGCAACATTTTACGCTTTTTTTAAGGCTCGTGAGCCCACGAGCCATACAGGCTGGCTCGGGCTCGGCCTGTCCTCCAAATGGAGCTCGACCCGAGCCTCAAGTTGGCTTAGACTTTTTTCGGGCTAAGTCACGAGCGGTTCGAGCTGACAAGCCGAATTGCCATCCCTAACTAGTATGGGAATTATGTGAATAGATTTTTAAAATTAGGAAAGGACACAACTATTGGAAATTGTTATTATTTAAAGAGACACATCTATTGAAAAATGAAAAATTCAAAACTCGACCTTTCATATGAAAATATCCATTTTTTCATCAATCATATTTTATAATAGTTCGTCATGTGTAACATCACATTCCTTTATCTGCCGGCAACCATTTGTCTCTTATAAATATGGAAATACATGACTTTCACGAACATTTATAAGAGATAAAATGGTTGGCCTAAATGCAATGCGCGGTGAAAACTCCAAATCAATTGGCTTGACGCCTTATTTAATTGTCAACGGCAATTGTAAACATCTAATGCGAGTCTAAGTGTGATTATGTGTACTTAGGCACGCATTATTATCTTTTTTAATTTTTTATTTTTTTATAAATTTTTTAAGTTAAAACTTAAAGGCTGATTTTTTCACTTCATTTTCCCTATATTCAAAACAGTCGCTCGAAGCTCTGGATAAAGGAAAATTTTCAAAAATTCCTATATATTTACCATTTAGCCCCCGTTTGGCCCCCCCCCCCCCCCTTTTTTTTTCAAATTTTAATGTTTGGAGTAGTGTTTTTTTTCTTTTTTTTTTTAATAAAAAATATATGGTTGAAAAAGAATGAAAAATTTCGATTTACATGTAATATTATTTTAGAGAAAATTATTTGATTGAAAATAAGAGAGAGGAAAAAATGAAAGAGACTAGGGTCAAACGAGGGCTTAATATTTACATTTAAAACTTATACTTTTGTTTGAAATTTTGAAAAAATGTATAAGTTCCTATAAATCTATTTTAGATGTTTGATAGGTATTATTTTTAATTATTAAATAATTCTTTGATTGATTAAAAATGAAAATAAGAAATCACCTTTTTATGTTTTTCACGTTTATGTGTTACTTAGCCCATAGCTTGGTCTCCATTTATTATTACGCATTACGCCTTTCAGAACAATGATAGGAACTACAATATGCTTTCAATTCAAATGTTGGCATATGTTCCTTAATTCAAGAAGTTTTTTGATCTCTTGTACCTATACATACAATTCTCTCTCAATTAATACTCTAGGAGATTGTGGGTAAAACCTTCTTATCGATAATGATAGGTTTGATGAACAAAATCACAGATATTGGTAGAAATTTAAGGATGTAAATGAGTTTAGCCAGCTCGCAAGCCAAAGTTTGCGGCTCCGACGTGGCTTGAGTAAAAATAGATCAACCTTTTTTGGGCTCGAACCTAGTTAAGTCAAAGCTCGGCCAAAAGCATGGGGGCCAGCTCGGACCTTTACGAGATGACTCAAGCTAGCTCGTTTTCTCTTGAAATTTTAATTTTTCTAAAGATCACCGAATTTTCAAAGGCAGTTTACAAGGGCCATTTTGTTCCTATAATTGACATAGGTTGGTCCGTGTGGCTCGACTAGCCGTATGGGACTACTCAGACTCGGGCCAACACTCAAAAATGAGGTTCAACCCAAACTTCGACTTGATTCCAACCAGCCGCGAGCCATTCAAGCTCAAACTTCTTCTAAGTCGAGTCGTTGGCCACTCGAACTGACGAGCTGGACTAACATCTCTATAGATATTCAAGAAACTGATAAATGCTTTGTTGAAAAATCATACTTCTAGTATTACCGTGAAAGGCAGTAAACGTAAGCCAAAGTATTTGCAGGGGTTGAATCTGGGGGTGAGAAATTGAGGATGACCAAATATCTAGAGAAAATAAAATAGAAGTTGAATGGGTCAAGCAAAAAATAAAAAAAATAAAAAAAAAAATTTGACAGGGGGG